TGAATTTGTAAATGCACATCGAGGAGGCCAGCTCAGTTGACTTATCATTCGTTTTAGTAGACATCGCAGGTCGACTGGAGAAAGTCAATGCAAGTTTTGCAGCGTTGAATGTTCTGTTAATTACTCTTCTTAATCTGTCCTGTAGAGTATCGCAGGCCACATCGTCGTCGAATTGTAGCTTCATAAACAAAGGCTTCTTTCGGGCAGTCGAAACCACCGACTTATATTTTACGGCAGACATATACTTCTTTAAGAATGCGCTTGGATAACCAATTTCGGTTAGTGAGCCGTTGATGAATTCTAGCTCCTGACTTACAGTATCCATTGAACATATCATATTTGCTCTGCTAATGAGACATCTTACCAAATTTCTTTTGTAGCGGATAGGTGTAAAACTACAAAAGTGAGTGTATTAGCAAGCACCGGGATTTTTTAGATACACGCTTCTACTTAGTGTACCATCCTTTCGCCTACTTAGTGTGATGTCAAGGAAAGACAGTTTTTCATCATATTCTTCTTCACCAGTGAACGTGATTGCCGGGTGAACATTGTTGAATTGTTCTAAAAGTTTTTCTTTCCCGGTGTCTGTATCTGTTTATCAGATGTAAACTTTCTTATTATGCACTATCCTCATCTTCCGACAGCTGAAATCGCAACAAAACTCAGAGATGCTTTATCCTCATTTACCCCTCAAAATTCTTTTAGGAGTTAAATGCTTCGTTCTTCCTGTACCTCTAGTAAACCCTACACAATTATTTGTGGCATAATTATGTGGAAATAGTGAAACCAGAAGATCGCCTTTTGATATGAAGCAAAGCAATTACCTGATAGATGAACACACAGCTTTAAGGTGACGTCCTCTCTAACTACCCCTTCCACGTTCAGTTTATGCAGTCCCCTATTACCATACTAAAATATGAATATTCTGGTTTGTTTGTTGTAATCAGAAAGCAAATCGGTTGACGGAATTCGAGCAGTAAAAGCAGAAATTAGTATATTGATGAATAATACTTAATAAATCAAGTGTTTATGACATGTCTTTCTGCAAGTGGAGATTCAATATTTTTCAGAAGCTACAAAATCAAGTCTGTGAAGTAATGGAGAACCCACATCATGTTCTGTTCAACATCCTAAATATGCTTTTCCATAACCTATGTAATAATGGTTCTTCATCACCGAAATCGATCAATGGAATACCTAAGAGGTTGATTAGACTTATGTTTCCTTTAACATCAATAACATCCAATCACATGGATTTCGATCTCAGGGTACTAGTCATATAAGCTGACAAAGAAGTAACAAGCTGGTGTAAATTACTCATCTTTCAGAACTAAATATTCTAATACATTCAGGTGTTTATGCAATGAACAACAGAATAATTTTCCGTATTTTGTAACGAATGGACTCTAATAACTTGACGTAGAAGACTAGGTAGGGACATGGAAACCAAACCAAAGACAAAAGGTTATCGTGCTAGTGAATTATGACCAGAAATTTATCGAAAATTTCCTGGAACTACCAATTTCTACACTGAATCTACATTGAATAGTGAAACTTACCTATCATGGAGTATGAATGTTTCTATAGGTGTGCATGTTGGAAAATCTATAGGTTTTTACAGAGTATTTACAAAACTTTGAATCAGTGGAGGTGAATAAAACGTGTAATCAATCTGCATATCCATATGTTTAATAATATAAATAATTATGAATATGAATACCTATGAATATTCTCCAATACAGAGTAAGAGCAAATAAGATAGATATTTTTAGAAACGAAATAATAATGTGATACTCAAATGTCCAAATCTCAAGCCATATTCCATAGAAGCAACACGTTTACAACAGAACGATTGCTCAATAGTTGTTAGTCACTGATCATGCTTTCAATGATTTTTGCATAAACCAAGACGAATTTATAATTTTCGACTGTGGTGATTCTCACTGGGAGATCTAGTGAGAATAAATGAACAGTGTAAATAAACCCAGTAAGTCATGAAGACAAACAGGTGAGGTCGAATAAAATCCCTAGATGGATCAGAAATAGACAATAACACCGCTAGATACCTGTCCAGCTTTACAGAGGTTAGATAGTCGCGCACAAAACAAATTCTTCAAGCATGCGGGTACGTCATCCTAATCAGGCGATGTATTGTATATTGTGAAGAATGATGCATGCGATGTGTTTTGCAGTTTTTCTCAAGATTTTTCGGTTTTATTCCTATGTTCATGTTGATTTCTCTGCTTAGACGGTAAACAATCCTGAAGCGTTCTATCATAGTAGCTGTGCAAAGGTTGGAGCTGACTTTGGAACATTATTTACTCCATTTTAGTCAACTTACGATCTCATATTTTTTCCAGAGATCAGAATGCCGTAATTCCTCATACCTGTTAAATTGATAAACCGTTACAAACAATATCGCGTTTTTATTACAGCCAGGAATGTGTCCATGATTTTTTACTGATAAAACAGAGTCATTCCGGTGCAGACTGTACAGACGATCGCCTTCATGTTCACTTTTCAAATGCTAATACGGGCAGATGAATATGCTTGAAAGATCATATCAGCGAAACACTTGAAATAGATGGTAACCTGAGCGATCCTTCGTAAAGATGGAAGTAACTTTATGACATTAACCATCAGCCTGTGTAAAGACAACGTCCAATTTAGAAGAGTTCTGTGAATCATATATAGTGTAACCACGAATGTGCTGTGGTTAATCTAACGTGATTTCGGTTTCTAGCGGTTCGCAATCAAACAGTGGATCTGATGATCCGACTTCTAGGTTGCTGCTGTTTATAAGGAGTGCATGAAAGTCATTTTCTATGACATTCATACCGGCACGACACAGCCTTGAGTTTACTTAAGGAGAAGCGCTGTACTACACACTTCGGACTGCGGTATCCTAAAACTAATTCAATGCCTTTCCTTTTGTATTTGAACCACAAGCCTTCTAATTCTCATGTTCTTGATTTGTGTGCTGCTGCATCGATAGCTCGTGTAGTTGCATGATCTTATCACTGGTACTACATAGTTAAAAACTGGAAAGTTGAATCCCATTACCGCACACTTCTGTCGTTGTCAAACTTTTGAATGTTCCTCAGACGAGTAGATGAAAACTTCATGTATATTAGGATGCTTGCTTTTAACCGCTAACTGTATAAGTAACTACGATACGTAGCATCATTAATTAGAATTTTTAGGCTACAGAACACATCAAATGACCCCCAATACACCAAAGAATAAATTGTTAGGCAACTGGAATTAATTAAACTTCGGTATACAGAACGTCGTGACATCCATTCAACAATGCTGATGAAGTGAATGTTTTACTGAAAGAATAATATGCAATAAATAAAACAGTAATTACTGTTTTGAGCGGAAATGTGGACATGTTGAATGATTGAATGATAAATACATTTTATAATCACTCTACACAAATATGTACAAGCTTATGTTCATGATGTAAAGAAATTGATGATAAGAACAATTGGAATAACTAAACAATCAAAGCAATAAAAAACTATGCACAGTCTTCATTTTTCTATGATGTTTTGTCTGATATCCATAGTCCTCACCTAATATTTGAGTTAAACGAAATGAGAACTTAGTTCATCCTTTACATTTACAAGTATTGTCACATATTCTTTGAATATGTAAACTGAAATAAGGACATCCTTTACATTTCCAAGTATTGTCACATAATCTTTGAATATGTAAACTGAAATAAGGACTTGAGTTAAGACTGCGTCGTTTTTCTCTTAGTTTATTCATAGTGATTTGGTACGAAGTTCATTATTACAGTAACCATTTGCCAATCAATATATGATGGTGTATGCCAATATAAATCTAAGTGACTGTATTGAATTGTGGTAAGTGAACGGGTGAGAAGATAGTTGTGAGTTTGTAAATTTTAGCAACATAGTTTAACTTACGATTTATTTTGATGATTTGATTCAGCATATAATTGAATTGACTGAGGCAGTACAAAGAATGAGCTACATCGATTCCGTTAATAAAGGTAGATTAACGGATAGGCAGATTGATAAATAGATAGATAGATAGATAGATGGAAAGATAGATAGATAGATAGGCAGATAGATAGATAGATAGATTTGCAGATATATTCGTGGACAGCGCATAACTCATTCATGTCAACCTATATTTATGACGTGCTAGACACGTTTACAAACGTATATCTGTTTATATGCCATTGATAGTGGAGGTAATAAGGGTTAAGTATTTCTGCCTCCTTGTATTTCCATGTATTTATTGATCATGATTACTTGTATCTTACATTTTCGCCAATTCATTAGAAGATGGAGTTAATGATTTTCGCCGACGAAAATATTTCACCCATGATAACTTGGGTATTCGGTGCAATGTCAGATGTAAATGGCATTGAAATCTGCATCCATAGAAATGTTTGCATGTAAGTAACTGACATTGATTAAGAATTCACTGATCCATTCGACAGATTCAACTCAACTGTACTGAATCAGCCAAGTAACATATCTGGTATCGTTCTAATGTAAGTTATGAAACATGAAAAATTTGACTGCGTGATTTTGAACATAATTATTTTGGATCATCTCTTGATCTGATCGATCAATTGAGATTATCTCTTCAATACACAATCCTAAAACCAAACCACAATGAAGGCATCTCAGTAGAAAATGTTGGCATTTTTATAAGTGACTGATGACCACTTATCACAAAAATCATTTCTAGAGTATTCTCATCATTGTTTGATTATCTTTTGAACACATCCATATAAAAATGTCGCTGCTGATCATTTGTTGCATATAGGGATAACTCCTGATAACTCATAGTGTGCTCAGTGAACACGTCAGTTTATTTTTTTTCGAAATTTATTTTCATATTTCAGATGTATCGCTCTAATATTGGCAAGCATCATCATACTCATCAAAGCGTTGCACACCGAATCTAAAATGTATACCGCATTTATGATCATAACCGTTAGTCAAATATGATTTCAATTGTTGTTTATAATTTCGTTTGCATTTTTGTTCAGTATTCGTATATTATTTTCTGATTGACTCTTTGTCAGGATTTCCTCTGATACACAAGATTGATGATATGCGTATCTGACAATATGAGATGAATCAGAGATGTTGAGTATTTCAGGAATAACTGTTAAAATTTATGGTGGAAGTAGAAAAGTGAAGATTGACTGTGCATTATAGAAGACTGTGTTAACAGATAAATGTAACGTCGACTCACAGAAATACCAAAATAAACCAGTTTAACCTTCTCTCATTTGTATTTATTTCTTATTACTCGACAAATATTCAAGCTTGTGATTCCACAATGTGTAAGTCATCATCGTATGTTCCAAGTAGAAGTTCTGTACGGCTGATAAGTTTGCTTTGTGCACTCGATTTGTTTCAATTTTCATTTGTAATATTTGTTAAATGAATATGGTGATGTTATATTCACATGTGCAATGAACATGAATATTCTTTGAATGAACATCACTGAATTTTAATACGGATGAGCAACAGCTAATATACGTTTCCTTGGAAGACAAGTTGACTTCCAGGCACCATAATTAGGAAACTTTCTGAATCAGGTATTGTTTAGTAATGTATCTCGTTGTAAATCGCTTCGAAAGTGAAGTTACTATAAAATAACATATTTGTTTTTTACTTTTCAGCTGATTATGATGACTATCGGTGTTTTATTATTAACTGTGTGCGGTGAATGGTTTGAGCTCATCATTGCGGTAATTGTAACACTTGTAGTAATGATCTTGGCTATCATGTCGGGTCAAAGATCGCAACATTCCATAGCAAAATGGAGGATCATATTTTTTTCATTTGGCTGTGTATCAGTGACAGTTGGAATAGTCTTCAGCATTTTAAGTATAATTTGCGCGACGAATAATACGCGTAAAGTGAGTCGTTCTGAAGTATCAAATTCAACGTATTGAAAGTGATTACCGTTTTGACGTTATGTATATTTGTCACCTAATACCTAAACGTCATGAAATATACACAACAAATAAAATGGATAAATGCTTCCATCATATCTCATGTCGTATCATCTGAACGAACCATTTTTCAGTAGTTTGTGCACAAAACTGTATTTGCATTTTCATGGTATAGGAATGTATGAACAGAAGCCAGTATTTCTTTTAATGAAAGAAAACCGACAATTATGTTAAATGTGCTCTGTTGCTGTCAACATTTTATCGATACATGCAAGTACACACATCATGATCACAGCAAAAAACGGAAACGCACTGTCAAATGAAAAGATGTGAACTTATTCATTGGTAATCTAATATCAGCCAAAGCAAATGCAGTTGCATTGTATCCACAATGTCCACATCAGATATATTGAAGTTTGAATTGACATACTGAATTATTGCCGTATTCATAGCAGTTAAGATATTTGTGAATGAATCAAATATCAAATATGTGAATTGAGATGAAATATTAAGTTATCGTTCATTCTAGAATGCATTTCTTCTTCTGACGGCCAATGATTGGTGCGGTGAAGGAGTAAGTTTCTGATGAACGTACAAATTGCGATAAATAACTGTTTACACATATAATTAAATCGCTCTCTCTCTACTTTGTGAATTGTAAGATACCATAGTAATGGTGACTGGTCGAGTATATGTAAGAATATAATCCCATACAAGAGGTTGAGTTATTGTAACTGAATGAGTGTCCTAAATAACAGACTTGAACTTATCAAGAGTGATTAATAATTAGACGTCGTAGATTAATTATGAATGTTACGTAATAAATAATCAATAAGGAAAATACAAAACCATTGAACTTAATACATGATTTATTCATCTGTCAAATGTAAAAACTCTAATTGAATTCATGTTCAGTCATCCATGTGAATTTGACTGTGCGGAAGCTTTATTCGAACCACTTTGCAGTTTATTGTGCACATAGCACTATTTCTAGATTCATGAAATACAGACGTCAACACAGAAGCGACATTTACTTTTATTGAAAAAATACAGGCGACTATGATCAAATATCCTCTGTTGCTGTCGTCGATTCATCCAGGTACACACATCAAAGTCAGCATATCTGTTAATGAATAATCTTTTTGCTAATGCAATTTGAAAAGTCACAAAATGATATGCATTGAAAAAATTATCTTCTGTTTTATTCTAGATTGCATTTTCCGTTCTGTCTGCCATTTGCTGGTTTGAGGCAATGTTTATCGTAAGTTGCTGATGAACGAAAAAACTTCTATATATATGTTCAAAATAATGTATATATGTCACTCTCTCTGTACAATGTGAATTGTTTAATATTAAACTACACACTGAAGCTGCAGCTCTGAAACAATAATAAGAACACTAGAAGTTTCGATGTGACTTCTTGATGTCGGTTAGCGACACGTTGAATGTGTGAAGAATTGAGAATATCATTGCTCCTTTTGTGAACAAACTGGATTTCGTCTAACATTATTTGATTGATCAAATGATCTAAAATATCACTGACTGCTCATTTGCAGGATTTAAATCATGTCATCGTGTTAGACATTGTACACTACCTTCATCACTGAACGTCATTCACTATATCATTTAAATATGAACTGTTCATTTCGTTTATTGACAGTCAAACTAAGAATTACGGTTTTTACTCTTACAGGTGATTACATTGACAACATACTATTTGATCAAAATGAGGAAACGGGAAGATTACTCTGCTCTTTATTTGACTTTTATATGCGCATTTGAATTTCTGATATTTGTGATTATTTCGAAATTACATGTCAATTATTTCCTTCATTGTATTCGTGAAATTGTTGCTTTCTAGTTGAAGTAATTATGAACAATGATTATTGATTTTTATTATTTATTCACCAAATACCTTGATAAATATAAACGTGTTCTTGCATGTTTATAGAGAATATTTTACACGTCATCACAAGCAGTCGTGTGATTACATTTTAATCGGTGTATTCTCAGAACTCCATTGCAAATAATTCTTCATATTACAAAAATTAATGTATCTTTTGTGTACTTTAGTGGTATGGATATTTGATCTAAAATTCCATTATCCAGACCTCAGTTGATTCAACTATCTCATTAATAATAACAGAAGAACTAGTTAATTAAAACATTTAGCTTGCTGCGACTCCTGTCGATGCTATAAGTTATTTCGTCCAGGAACAGTAGCTGTATTATGAAAGTACAGTGAATTAGGATCTGAGGACCGTTGATATTATTACTGTGCTGTCAGTGGATATCGGACGTATTCACTATTAAACATAGAATATACTTCAAGTCAATGAGATCACGAGGAATCGTCCTCGTTTGTGCATGAACATATTCAAACAAATGTTTTATATGTATATGTGACTTGCATGAGTATGTCTCTATGAGTCTAGTTGATATTTATGCAGGCATACTTCAATTGTACATGTTTGTCAAAAATAGTGATTTAAACAACACTACATCATGAAAAATGTTACAGTTATGAGGAGAAATGTACGACAGCACTGTGAAAAGTTTCTTTTGTTCATTCTTTGAACCGTTATTTAAGAAGTAGTCATGTGAATAGCACTTATTACCGTTGGTTGCTTCAATTACAAATCGGGTCGCTTATAATCATTCCACGACTGAGTATCTTCTTTTGACAAATTACAAGTTTCAAATTCTTTGTACGCTCATGAAGAAGGGAAAATCTGTTTCTGCTTCATACAAAGCAATTATCTAAGTGTCTCTTCATGGTTTCATGTAACAAAGTAACACCAAAATCACCAGTGCAGTGGTTTCCGTTGCAAAAGTTCACCGTTAAATAAATATGAGATTTAGTTATATTATATTATATATAATAATATATATATATTATATAATATATATTATATTATATATATATATTATATTATATAGCAAACTGTGCCTTCCCTAGCAAGGCTGAACATCAATGAAAAAATCATATAATGAAATCAAAATTTACATGGAACAACGGAAATTCATCTTAGAAGAGGAAGAAGTTACAAGATTTTTACTACTGAGTATGCTAATCAGCATAACCAACATTAAATAACTGAAGTGTAAATTACAAACGCGGTGATTTATCAAAACACTAAACGAAATAAAATACAAATGAGTAAACTTATATTTTCACACTAAACGTAAGAGAATTTAGAGAATCAAATCTGATGACTAGGGTTTTAAGCAAATACTGTTTGCAGTACATAATCAACACCTGTTGTGGTTGAATTCATTATAGAACATTCAATGGAGAAAAGAAACAAATGAACAGAAATCAGCGAAAGATTATTAATGTAATTTCTTGGAAGTTCAGCAAATTAGGTAATATTTTGACAAATGAAATAAGAAATAACATTTATATATAACTTATCACTATCACTATCATTATTTGAAGATTGATATTCAACTCGAAAGATGATGAGCAATTATTATAAGATAGATAATGATTTATTCTCAAGTAGAAACATTTTACAAGAGGCATGCTGATTTACGAGCCATGTCAAGATATTTTCTGTAAAAGCTTGTTCATTCAT